TAAAATTACATAGTTGTTTTTGAGTTAGTGTGCAATTCCAAGAAATAGGTAGGATAACTTCATATTTTACCTTTTGGTGTGGATGTGTCTGTTAGAGACACGCTTCCTTAGTACATTTCTAATCCCAGGCAGACAGCTCAGCTGTGCAGATTACCTCTTTGTCAGTGCGAAGATGAATGCTAGCAGAGCTTAATGGTCTTTGAGTTCATCTATTCTCTGTCTCTTGTTTAATCAGCTGCTCTAAGTTATTCATAACTTTGCCAATATTCCTTTTCCTGATGAACCCGCACATTTAGGATATGTAAGAAAGTAGACCCAAAGGGATGGTAGGAGCTTCCCTTCAAATCACTTCAACAGTTTGAAATCTTTGGGAAACAGATCTAAGTGTAAAGGTACTGCTACCTCTTAATGCTTTTCTCACCTACCATGCCCTTGCTAAATAATCAGAGGAATCTGTGCAATCTTGACTAAAAGCTCAGAAAACTTGAAGTCTCTGGCTGCACACAGCTGGATGGTGCCTGTGTGAGACCTTCTTTTCCATTAACCTCGGTCCACTCCATGATGTTTTCTCTCAGCAGGGCAGAGCTCAGCTTCCTAAATGGGAGCTGCCTTATCTCCCTAAAGCACAAATGCAGCCTGCAACTAGATCAGCTAAAGATACATACAAATATCCATAGAAATCCATATATACTACATACAGTGTACCATGCACACCATGGCAGCTGGACTAAATGACCTTAGTGGTCTTTTCCAAACTTAATGATTCTATGATTCTATATACGTACAAGAAACTGGAAGGAGTCCATTTGGCATCCCTCCTGCATATTCCCCTGTAATCTAGCAGTGTTTAGTGAACTTGCACAAGCCTCAGAGGGTTGATTCTTCCCAGGAAGGATAGGTCAGGGCCAAAATAGGTGGCTGTTCTCATAAGCCAGTACAGAAGTTTCCAAGGTGGAATGGGGAACAACTGTAGAGCTCATAAGTCTGGAGAATCTGGAGCCAGTGGAAAATCCTTGAAAAATGGCCTCAAATTACAGCAGTTCCTATAGTTGCTGTGGTTGACGCCCAGTGATGTGTCAGTGTCTGGAACATAGTCAGTAATGGAGAGAGCACACCTTTCCCCTGCCTCCCTATTTCTCAGAGGAGTCTGGAGTCTTCTATTCTGAACCTCTAGCAGCAGGTTAATAAAAATCAATGCTTAACTACACATGCTAGGCTTTTCTTATTAAAGCATTTAAGAGTGCTGAGAAGGCAGTTTCTGCAACTGTGGGGTGAAGCAGCTAGTGGGAAGTGGAGCAGAAATGGGCAGTGCCATGCACCCTAGTGGGAAGGTTGAGGCTGGGATGGGTGCAGAGACGTCAAGGGCCATCAAAGCATGCAGCCCCCACACAAGAATGATGGTTCACTGTCTTGCAATGTGTTTTTCTTTCCTACAAAGCTGATGAGGAAAGGAGGCATGGGTTTTGCAACCTGGACACCCGTCCTGTAAGGAAAAGATAAAGACCGGCCAGAAAATCGTGCTGGGGAAGGAATGACAACATAGTGCAAGAGCGCTGATCAAATCAAGGATAAACCAGAAGGGTGAGATCAAACTTGGAGGGGCTTCACAGAATTTTTTATTTTTCACAGTGCTATACTTTCCATTCCTGTCTCTTCAATTACCCTCTTCCACAGTTTCGGCTCTACATGTGTCCAGAAACCAGAGCTCCCCGAGCTATCAAGGAAAAGTATCTCGGGAATTAGGAGCTCAGAAAGGCTGTGGCAACAGAGCTGTGGTCTACAGCCACATCTACAGGATCCCACTTACTGATTACAAAAGTGTCAGGTACTGCTTCAGAACCTGAAACCCAGTTCCACAAATAACAGCAATTCTGTCAGTGTTCAGGGGCCATGGAAACATGCCGCCTTCCATATTCTGTTCTCAGTGTGCTCAGTGAGAAGCAGTTAAAAGATAATAAGTGTTGGGAAAAATTAGAAGCAGTAAGCACAGACAATATTAAAATAAGTGTTGACAGCGCATCTGAGGAAATTGTAGGTACAATTATTATGTTGGGGTTGGAAATGATCTCTGAAGGCAGTATCCATGCATTACCTGTGCTGTAGGACCTAATTTAGGAGTGCTCAGAGGAAGGGCTTCACATTTTACGTGGCAACATCAGACATTTCTCATGGGAGACCGAAAAGCTTTGAGAACTGGTATCAGCAACATCTGTGTGGAGAGTTGGGTACGGTAACTACAGAGTCCTTAAAACAATTAGAGATGGTGATGACAAGAGAGTTGCCATGTTGGAGCTCATCTTGATGAACAACAACAACAAAAATAGCTGCTGATTTAGGTTTTCCTGTACATTAGTAATCATGCTCTGGTCAAATTTAGTGACTTAAGTACTGGTACTGGCAAATACTACATTTTATCAAGCTTTGAAGACCCATTTTTTAATGCTTAGACTAATTGGCAACTCAGTAGACTGGTAGGTATTTTTAAAGTGAGAAGAGTAGCCTGGTCTAGTATTACATGTGGAGGTTGGTTGTCCTGCATATGGCAAAGGGGTTGGAGATTCATAATCCTTGAGGTCCCTTCCAATCCTGGCCATTCTGTGATTTGTGATTCTGTGAAGATGTTTTAAAAAAACACAGTTTCTTATTCAGCATCTAAGAAATAGACTATTTCTAAGAAATAGATGCTGAATAAGAAACTGGTTTAATAGCAGCGATCAGTGCAATGGATTTTTTAAAAAGGTGCAGAGTAATAAAGAAAGTCTCAGAGTAGATGTTTAAAATCTTGGCAGGAGCAAAGAATGTCAGTGATGATTGGTGATAACGTTCAAAAGGAAGGAGATAGAGGAAGTTGCAGGAATCACAGAAATGTCACCAGTCACAGTGAATGACCAAGAGCTTTAAAGAAAGAACACTCCATTAGAAACAAAATGTACTATTTAAATCATGCTCAAGTCCACAAAAAAATACTGATGGTGAACTGTGGTGACTGAGAAAAAAAACACAACTCTTAGCTGGGCTCTTTTGAAAAGGAGCATTGAAATACAGTTATCCATACTGTGTTGATCAAGTTGCCATTCACAATTAAAAATCAACAAAAAAGAGCAATGGTCTCTGCTATATCTAAGCAATTTTGAGTCAACAAAATGTACAGCAATTTATGCCAGTCGTCAAGATGCACAGGTCTGGCTTACTGTGCAAGGATTTATTACAAGCACAAAACTGGATGGAAATAACATCTCAACAGGAGGAATATTCTTCACGCTCCACTGCCTAGTATTGTTCGTCAGAATTGTGGGATCACAAAACATGTACATTTGGAGACATTCCAGGTCAGACTGAACAGGGTTCTGAGCACCCTGGTCTAGCTGTAGGTGTTACTGTTCGTTGCAGGAGAGCTGGACTAGAATTCCAACTCAACTCTTTCAATGATTCTATGATAATTAATTTCTAAACAAAAGACTTCTGGTTCACAACTTTGGATTTGATCTGCACCAGTACCTCTGCCTGAGGCCTGTGGCCTCAGATACCTATGAATCACCAGCAGCAATTAGGATTTTCTTTTTCATGTTTCAAGCTACACTGGCATTGTTCATACAACAAAATCAGCAAAGGTTTGCTGTGAGCAGGGGATTTTTTTTCATTTTCTTAAGGAAATGACTCCCCTCAAACACTTGTTTCTCTACAGGGTCCCAGAGATAGAATAATTTTAACCCAATTTCAGGTACTCAAGCGAAAGCCCAAATCTTTTCACTCAGCTTGCCTAACAACCATTTAGAAATATTTGTGATAGCTGTAATTTGCAGCAATGTGGCAGTAAGACTTGGTATTATTAACTTAGTAGAAAACCTATGGGTGACTGTTAGAAACCGAGGCATCAGAGAGCCTTGTGACTGTGCCTACTACAGGCCACCTGAACAAGGGGAGCCTGTTGATGATAACTGCTTGTCACACAGCCCTCATATATTTGGTTTGGAAGGAGGGGACTGGGGAAGCAATGCCCTTCCCCCTGTAAGCGAAGATCAGGTTCATGACCACCTGAGGAACCTGAACATCTACAAGTCTATGGGTCCTGATGAGATGCGTGGACACGGGAAGAGCCACTGATGTCATCTGTCTGGACTTCAGTGAAGTCTATGACACAGTCCTCTGCAATATCCTTCTTTCCAAATTGGGAAGATATGGATGGGATGGCTGGACTGTTCAATAGATGAAGAACTGGCTTCAGGATCAAACACAGAGAGTGGTGGTCAATAGCACCAGGTATGGATGGAGATAGGTGACAAAGTGGTGTCCCAAAGGGTCAGTACTAGGACTGATACTATTTAACATCTTCGTCAGTGATATTGACAGTGGGGTGGAGTGCACCCTCACTAAGTTTGCAGATGATGCTGAGCTGTGAAGGGCAGTCAAAACGCCTGAGCGACAGGATGCCATCCAGAAGGACATGACAGATGAGCAGGGAGCCCACAAGAACATCAAAAGGTGCAACAAATCCAAGTGCAAGGACTTGCACCTGGATCAAGGCAACCCCCATTACTAATACAAGCTGAGGGAAGAAAGCATTGAGTACAGCCCTGCCAAAAAGAACTTGGCAGTACTGGTTGGTGGGAAGCTGGGACAAGAGCCTCAAGCCAGAAAGCCAACTGCATCCTGTCCTGCATCAAAAGAAGTGTGGCCTGTGGATTGAGGGAGGTGATCCTGCCCCTCTACTCTGCACTAGCGAGACCTCACTTGGAACACTGCTTCTTGTCAGAGAGCATCCAGAGGACCATAAAAATGATCCAAGGGATGGATCACCCATCCTATGAGGAGAGCTGGGGCTATTCAGCCTAGAGAAGGGAAGGCTCCAAATAACCAAATAGTGGCCTTTATGTGTGTAAAGGGAAGCTTACAGGGAAAAAAAAAAAGAAAAAAAAAAGAAGAAAAAAAAAAAGGACAGGCTCTTTTGCAGGGTCTGTGGAGACAGAACAAGGGGAAATGGTTTCAAACTTAGAGAGGGTAGACTGAGGTTGGATATAAGGAAAAATACTTTTACACTAAGGGCGGTGAGGCACTGGAACAAGTTGCCCAGACATGTGGTTGATGCACCGTTGAGGCCAGGCTGAATCAGGCCCTGGGCAACTTGGTCTACTCATGGACATCCCTGATCAGTGTAGGAGAGTTGGACTAGCCAGCCTTTAAAGGTCCCTTCCAACTCTAAGTATTCCATGACTTCAATAGAAGTAAATAGAAATGATGGTGGATGGATGCTTAACTTCTCAAAGCTGTTCACCTTTCATATAAGAATAGAAGCAGGGCTGAGTTTTGTGTGCACCTACAAGTCACCAACACAGCACCTTCCAGACAATGTTTTACCTTTATTTTTTCCAATCAATGATCCTGGCTTTTTTCTGTAGTCCATGAATATTCCTTAGGGTAATGGACTTCACTAGGCAAGATTTATAGTGACAGAGATCTACAAGTCACTCTGATGGAAAATTCATTCTTATTTGGGATTAGTAGCTAATCTTCAAGATTATTAAAACTATACCACTTGGGTATTCTTCTTTTTGTTTTAATTGCCTGTGTTACGAACAAAGGGCACAGCCAATCTAGCATCTGGTGCATGTACTTAATTTCTTATGAGCAACGACAGACAAATAAATAGGAGCTATTTTCAAAGTGACCTTCTCCTTCTATCTGTATTAGAATGTTCTGACAAAATTCACGATTGACTCAAGTCTTTTTATAGCAGCCGTGAACACAGTGACCAGGACAGAGTTTCCAACCCGCCCTGTCTCTGTTCAGTTTCCTCTCCCAGACATGGCTCCAGTTGGACTGCATGCGATCAGGGCAGCGCCTTTACTCTGGCAGAGTGTAAAGTCTCAGCAGTCTCACTGCAGGGATTTGACTTCACAGTGGATAGCATTTCAAACTGGAAATAACGATGTTTTGGAAGTGTCTAGTAAATCCCAGCTGGCCATGTATCCTATTGTTCACTGAAAGAAATGGAAATTAAGCCATCAGCCATAGCCTGCGAACAATTCGCTGCAAAATGCATCCCTTTCTAGAAAAAAGTCTGCTTGTTCTAACATAGCTAAATAAAACTTTTATTATTATTATTTATTTATTTCCCCATTACATTTTGTGAACCTTGCTTCAATTTACATTAGGAAAAAAACTCACAAATTCATGATAAGTACTTAAACTGACCTGTGAACTTGCTGGAAACTGCACCAATTGAAATGTCTTTGTGCCACTTGATTATAACGCACACCCCTTGGAATTCCACTGAGAGCAGAAACAGCTTGTGGCCTTTCTAACCCAAGAGAGCAAACAGTGCAGCAGGAACCTCAGGAAGCTGCCACAAGGAAAGAAAACAGGACAGCTGGTAACTAGCAATGTCACCCTCTTTTTTCTTTGGTACCCACGAGGCAAAAGAAGGCAATAATAGCATTTTCCCCTGGGATACAGGCACTATGGAACTATAGAAGAGAACAAAGAATGAAAACTAGCTCACCCCTTCCAACAGCCAGTGACAGCTCTAGAGGAATACATCCTCTCTTCAGAGAAACGCTGCTCCCTTGGCTGCTAACCCTAAAATGAGGGTGGGGGGGAGGACCTCCACCCCTTTTAGTCACTCATGTTCATTGCTTGCACCTGAGCCCCCTGATTTAGCTGTGCCTTCTCACCTGGTGCTCAATCGTTGGTTCAGACCATGACTCGGTAATTCTGCTGCAGTACCCAAGACCTCTTCAAGTTCATCTCAAAGCATCTGAGGATGACAATCCCATCTAAGAAGGTTCCAGTGTTTGACTCGTTAGAAAATCATCTTTCTTATGGCTGTATACCACCGTGAGACACAGAAATGCATGCAGTCCATTGTGAATTAATTACCACTAGCAGTTAATTTGAATGACAAGTTTCACTGTATTACTAATGTAATCTTATTGACCTATGCATAGAAATGTATCCAATAACACATGTAAGATTAAGCTCTTTACCAGCACTGAATTATGATATAAATGTAGAACTATCCTATGATCTCTTAACATGCCTCAGCGTTTTGGAAGGAATATTTTACACAACTGTACAACTCTGGCAGTAATTGTGGGCACAAGGACAACAGTGGGTGTTGTGGAATTGGCCTCAGATTGTGGCGCTGCATGTGTGAGGGAGCTGGACTCTAACTCTTCTCCTAGTCTGTGGCAATCTTCATAGAATCACAGAATGGTTTTGGCTGGAAGGGACCTTAAAGCCCAGCCAGCCCCACTCTATGCCATGGGCAGGGCTGCTCACCACCAGCTCAGCTGCCCACGGCCCCATCCAACCTGGCCTTGAGCCCCTCCAGGGATGGGGCACCACAGCTTTTCTGAGCAGCTGTGCCAGCATCTCACTGCCCTCTGAGTAAAGAATTTCCATCTAACATCCGACCTAAATTTCCCCTCTTTTACAGTTTGAAGCCATTCCCCCTTGTTCTATCGGCTCAGTGTGTAAAAAGTCAGTCTCCATCTTCTTTCTAAGCTCCCTTTAAATATCAAAATCTTTGCCTTCTCTCCATCTGTGAAACAAGGCTGATCAATTGTATTGCAAAATGTCATTATGTAAGGTCAAAAATTTGGCATTTGATGATGTTTTTGTGTGTACAATATGCCTCGATGTGGTCATCAAGAAAGGACAGAGCAGCAGGTAAGGAAATAAGCCAGGTGCTTTTTCAGGACACACAGATGGCAGCTTGTACCATGTCAATGATGTCAAGAGAACTCATACTTCATACTTAACAGAAAAATTATTCATCCAAGAGGGTTTTTTTCATGATAGTGAAATGAACACTGTGAGAAAATTACTTTGGTTGCTGGGTGCAATTAGCTACTTAGAGAACATCTCCTAAAATGTTATCTCTGATGTATTTATTATATTTCAAAAAAAAAAAAAAAATCCTTCTTGCAGTTCATGGCCATGAAGCAGTATGCAACAAGCCAGAAGACTTGTATAACTGTAAGTCTTGAAGCAGTTCTTAGAAAGGCAGTGACTTTGCCAACCAGGAAACATTTAAGTGGCAATCTTTTCATAGAGAAAAGCTTGGAGATAAGGAAAAAATAGGAAGCTGTTCACTTGTGCCAGGAAGCATTAACAGAGGCACTGCAAGCTGGGCTGTTCGCTTTTAATCATAGAATCATAGAATCATAGAATCACTAAGGTTGGAAAAGACCTAAAAGATCACCCAGTCCAACCGTTCACCTATTCCCAATAGCTCCTACTAAACCATGTCCCTCAACGCAACATCCAGTCTTTCCTTGAACACCCCCAGGGTCGGCGATTCCACCACCTCCCTGGGCAGTCCATTCCAGTGCCTGACCACCCTTTCCGAAAAGTAATACTTCCTCATGTCCAGCCTGAATCTCCCCTGCCGTAGCTTGAAACCATTCCCCCTGGTCCTATCACTAATGACACGAGAGAAGAGGCCGACCCCCAGCTCACTACAACCTCCCTTCAGGAAGTTATAGAGAGCAACAAGGTCTCCCCTGAGCCTCCTCTTCTCCAGGCTGAACATTCCCAGCTCCTTCAGCCTCTCCTCATATGGCCTGTGTTCCAGACCCCTCACCAGCTTTGTTGCCCTCCTTTGAACACGTTCCAGGGCCTCAATATCTTTCTTGCAGTGAGGGGCCCAAAACTGGACACAGTACTCGAGGTGCGGCCTCACGAGTGCTGAATATAGGGGAACAATCACCTCTCTGCTCCTGCTCGCAACGCTGTTTCTGATGCAAGCCAGGATGCCATTGGCCTTCTTGGCCACCTGGGCACACTGTCGGCTCATGTTCAGCCGAGCATCAATCAATACCCCCAGGTCCATTTCCTCTACGCAGTCCTCCAGCCACACCACCCCAAGCCTGTAGCGTCGCCTGGGGTTGTTGTGGCCAAAGTGCAGGACCTGGCATTTGGCCTTGTTGAAACTCATCCCATTGGCTCCAGCCCAGCTCTCCAGCCTGTCCAGATCCCTCTGTAGGGCCTCGCTACCCCCAGGCAGATCCACACTTCCAGCCAATTTGGTGTCATCTGCGAATTTACTGAGGGTGCACTCGATGCCCTCATCCAGGTCATCAATAAAGATATTGAAGAGGACAGGCCCCAGCACCGACCCCTGGGGAACACCACTCACGACTGGTCGCCAGCTGGATTTGACTCCATTCACCACCACTCTCTGTGCCCGGCCCTCCAGCCAGCTCCTTACCCAGCCAAGAGTGTATCCATCCAAGCCTCTGGCTGCCAGCTTCTGCAGGAGAATGCTGTGGGAGACAGTGTCAAAGGCTTTGCTGAAGTCTAGGTAGACCACATCAACAGCCTTTCCCTCATCCACCAGATGGGTCACTAGATCATAGAAGGAGATCAGGTTGGTCAAACAGGACCTGCCCTTCATGAACCCCTGCTGGCTAGGCCTGATCCCCCGGTCACCCTGCACATGCCGCATGATCTCCCTCAAGACGATCTGCTCCATAACCTTCCCTGGCACCGAGGTCAGGCTGACAGGCCTGTAGTTCCCCGGATCCTCCTTACGACCTTTCTTATAAATGGGAGTCACATTGGCAAGCCTCCAGTCTTCTGGGACCTCACCAGTCAACAAGGAGCGCTGACAGATGATGGAAAGCGGCTCGGCTATCACCTCCGCCAGTTCCCTCAGCACTCTCGGGTGGATCTCATCTGGCCCCATCGACTTGTGACAGTCCAGCTGGAGCAGTAGGTCTCTGACTGTTTCTTTCAGAATCACAGGGGGGTTAGTGTGCTCCCCAGCCGAGATTACCAGGTCAGAGACAGGGGTACCCTGAGGATAACTGGTCTGACTTTTAAAGACAGACGTAAAGAAGGCATTCAGAACCTCCACCTTTTCCTTATCCTCAGTGGTCACATTCCCAGCCTCATCCAGCAAAGAGTGGATATTCTCCTTTGTCCTCCTCTTACTGTTAATGTATTTATAAAAGAGTTTCTTATTCCTTTTCACACCAGCGGCTAGGTTAAATTCAAGCTGGGCTTTTGCCTTTCTGATTTCACCTCTACACATCCTAACAACTTCCCTGTATTCATTTTGAGTGGCCTGTCCCTCTTTCCACAGGCGGTAGATTCTCTTTTTCTCCCGGAGCCTCAGGAATAGCTCCCTATTCATCCACGCCGGTCTTCTTCCCCGCCGGCTCATTTTGCAGCTCAGGGGGACTGCCTGCTCCTGCGCCCTTAAGACTTCCTTCTTGAAGAGCAACCAGCTCTCTTGGACCCCTTTGCTCGCTAACACTGAATGCCAGTGTTAAGCAAAGCAAAGGCTTTTGTTGTTTGCCCTCACTATTTAAGCCTAACCCAAGCAGACTCAGAGAACAGAAAATGAATTCAATCAGAAGTTTATACTTTTTCCTTAGGAGAGGGACAAACTTTCTGCGTATATAGCAGAGGAACATTGGAACAGAAAGCCTCACTCAGCACTGTAATTCCCATCTAGTCGTAGGAAACCAAGGTATCTTGATACTCTACTGCTCCTGTCACTTTGTCAAGAGAGGATTTCTTCTGTTGCAGAAAATATCCTTGGGCCCTCCCACTGACTTCCCAGTAATACCAGCAGAGGTGTGCACGTGTTGGCACGCTGACTCTAAAGCACTGAAACAAAACTGAAAAGCAGACATCGCCTGGCATTGTGGGTTTGTGTCTGAGCAGCCCGTGAAGGACAGCAAGAGGCAGATGCTTGGGGCAACACGTGGAACACACTAAAGAGAGTTTGCTGAGATTTTTAACTGCTATGTAGATAACAGAGAGCAAAGCTCAGACTAGATGGTGGCAGGAAAGCAGCAGGTCTCTCCTGCTTGCTTTCCTTTCATCAGGACAACACACTGTTTGTACAACCAGCCACAGTTTCAACAACGGACTGGCTGGAGATGAGTCACTAAAATGAATAATCCTTCTTAATCTCTACAAAAAACATCCTGTTAGTGCTGCCATATTCTAGGAATTGTCATAACAGGAGCAGCAAAAGGATTAAGTGCTTAAACCTGTCCCACTAGGGCAAGTTCACTGCTGCAGAATTTCTGCTGGTAATGAGTCCTCACTTCCCCCCACAAAAACAAGAGAACCGCCCTATTCTGTGTTTCTTTCTTTGTAAGCAGCCCCCCAGGACCCACCAACAATATTGCTGGGTTAGAACATTAAAATCTAGATCAACTCACAGCAGATGCTGAGTTTGAAATGCAAGGAAGGACCACAGGTTCACAGAGATCACAGCAGAGCCTGTTCTTGGTGCCTTTTGCTAAGGGCTCTACATTTATGTCAGCACATCCACTGGAGAATACTAATCCTGGAGACACAGTGCTGTCCTCTCTGTGCTTTTCAGTGCAGCACTGTTCAGCTTTCAGAAGGGCAGTGATTCTAGGAAGAGATTAAAATATGTAGGATGCTCTTTGCAGTGTGAACCTGAAGCCCGCACCTCCAATACTGAAGATAAGAAGGCTGTCAGCTGCAAGATTAGTCTCAGGAGCTATGAAAATTGCCAGAAGAGGCAGATGAATGCTTTCTTTTTTTTTTTTTTTCCCCCACAATACTTAGAATGGCAAGAGCTCACTTCAATATTTTGTGTTAATAA